AGTTCGCAATTGTGAATCCGCCTTCAACAGCTATGGTGGAACCCTGAGATCAATCAAGGGTGTGATCGACGCTTTCCAGAACTTATGATTGATTATTTCAATTGGGTTTCTCAACCTCTGTGGGTTTTCTCAACTGCCCCAACCATAAAGCTTGGCAGGGTGAGGTTTCCCTGTTAACTGCTGGAATTGGTGACTCTGAGGGGATGCTACTTGCACCCATCCTTGCTTGGAAGTACTTATACTGTTCCCAGGCACTGTACTGCTTTAATATATATTTATATAGCTGGTTGGCCAAATTTGGCCACAGTCACTTTGTCAGATTTAGGCCAGAGCCCTTCACAGCCCAGGAACCTCCGAAAGCCAAAGGCAAGAAATCGGAGCCTTTGCCGTCGCCCACAGAGCCAGCTCCTCCAGCATGAGCGCGATTGAGTTGATAGGGGTAGGCTAGGGAAATCCTTAGTCTGCAGCTAGTGCAGCCGGTTGTGGGATTCTGTTCACTCCATAGGTTAACAGCTGAACTACTGTGGTCGTGCATGTTCTAGATCGGACTGTGCACTTGGCTGCGCTGCTCAATTTTTGGATCTGAAGCCGATAAAGACTGTGAAGCAGGGGGTGGAGAAACAACCAGTCTTGAGTGTGCCTTCATGCAGGGGTGTGACTTCATAAGTATTTGGTCTTGAGTACGCCTTCATGCAGGTGGGGGTAGTTGAGTGTTTGAGGGCTTGACAGGACAGAAACGATTACCTAAAATGGCTTGAACTAGAGCCAATTGAATTAATAGACTTTCTACAGAAAAACTATAAAAGTCCATTAATTAACCCTGCTCGTGGTGACTTCATTCGTATTTATCACGTGTGGTGGTCACTGTCTCGGTGTGCAAATACCTCTTCCTTTCATACTGGTGAGTACCATTTGTCTTTACCAGTGTCTAGTAGTTTAAACCCTGGTTTGTAACATTCCCCATGCGCAGGTGCTGTTCTGAAAAACGACATTAAGCAGTCACCGCTGTACAACTTCCTGCTCAAAGAGGCTGGTCTCGGTGAAGCTTGGCTCAAAAATATCAATACAAGGCACACCGCCACATTATGAAGGGGAGTTGGTTTGGTCCTCTCAACTGATCTTGGTGTGTCCAACCAGGAGGATTTTTTGAGCCGAATTTGAGCCCTGCATGTTGAATTGTTCTGCTGTTGGACACTGGTCACTAAGGAAACTTCTTTTGCGAAGACCCAAACATTGATACACTATGTGGACAAGGATTGGGGTACTGAAGGTTTGCCAAAACAGGCTGGTATAGGTATAGGCCACATCACCTACAGTGTTAATTGCAATGTGAGTACCAAGCCCAACTGTGTGCATATACAGCCCACCATGTGTGCCAAGTTTTGAGAAACAACAAGATTGACAAACCAACATGGCAGGCAGAGTTTGATGTACAATATTGATCTGTGTGTGGCCAGGAGTTCAAGCGTCATGGAGTCCAGCTACAAGGGCCATGTGCTGATCTAGCATCAGTTGGATGTGGTGGGAAGTTCTCTTCCAATTGTCAGAGGGACATCATGCGGAAGGTTGCCAAAAACGACCAGGAGCAGGCACCACCTGGATAGAAACACCCCAACTTGTGGATAGAGGATACACCACAGTGGTGGGGAATGCTACATGGGTTGAATTTAGGTTGGACCTTGCTGTGACAGGTGAAAATAGATTGGATTGATGTACCAGTCCAGAAGCAACGGGGACCCAATGGAGTTGAAAACAGGACAGGGTTTTGATGTGGACACTATTTTGTTTGATAAAGGATTGACAATTAAATGCCAAAATATGTGAATATAACATATATGCATGGATATCTAAACATACGAACATATGTATTTATTTTTGTTCCAAGACCCCTGCAAGTGGTTTGGACACTTGCCAGCAGGAGACTCCCTGTTGCCATGCCGCACAATGTGGTGCCGATTCTACCTTCACTTCCTAGTTCTGAGATCAAATCCTTTTGGGACCACCTCTCCAATGCCAACAGCCCACTTGCAGAGATCAGCCCTGGCAAGAACCATTACCCGATTTGGCTATGGGGAGATGAGTGTCAATATCGGGAAAGTGGTGAGGAGGTGATGCTCATTGCTATGGGAGGGGTTCTGGACAATAGAAAGCACAGCATTGAGGCATGCTACCCCCTGAGCATTACACGTTCTGAAGCTAGGCTGGATTTTACACCTTTTGTTTACCAAAGATGGTTTTCTTGGTCAACTTTTGCAATATACCACCAAAGTTCTGTGTCAAAACAAAAAGGATCTGTTTCCCGAATAGTTCTGACCCAAATCAGGAACTGAAAGCTGGCTTTCCAACTGTCCGTGCGATATTGGAAGGTGCAACTTGCATGAACCAGCCTCCATTAAACATCTGCACAGTGTCCAGTTAAGAGCACTGTAGCAGCCAAGCCTAATCAACTCCCTGGCCCATGGCCCTCCAAGGTAGTTGAGTCCTTGACGAACTTGTTCAATGAGGGCATAGTGCTGATGCCTGGCGGTGATTGTGTCAAGTACGCTGTATGTGATATCCGTGGAGATTGGAAATGGCAGCAGGATGCTTGTTATGTACTCAATGATATTGTTGGTTCCTGTATTGATGTTTTACTTAAACCAAATGACCCTAATCATGCATTTCCCTTCACAGTGTCCAGATTGATGGCCAAACCCAGGAATGGTTACAACTATCCTGCGACTACTTATGCATTTCTATTTGCCACAACTGCAGAGCCATGAAACCTAACTTGGTGAGTGCTCCTTCAAAGCTTGATAGTGAATTTCGTCATAGCACTCAAAGCTTTCTGGACGAGTGTTGCAAACATGGTGACCTACACAGACCCTTTGCAAGTTGAAAAGCAAAATGTTTGGTCTTTCCCTGAGAAGCCGTTTCGGGATAGGTTCTTCATGCCTGATCAGAAGCAAGAATCACTAGTGCAAAGGTCCGTTGCTTCGTTTGCCATCCTTCCGAGTACAATGCATCAGATGGGATGGCATGCACGTTGTGAATTTGGGGGTCGACTTGTGGGTGTGTGCAAGTGTTATCCGCAAGCTGATGGAGTATGACATTGATCTTTTTGGAGATCTAGCCATGCAGGAATCGGATCGGCTCCTCATAGCGTATGAGAGGTTTCGGGACTGGACACGGACAAACCGAATTGTGTGCTTGGCCTTGCATATCTTTCAGTACGCTTTTGAACACCCAAATGTTTGTTGCAAGTTTCAAGGTCACTGGGCTCAGGAGGGTGTGATACATAGTCGACATCTAAGGCACTCAATGCCAAGGTTTCGCCCGTGGCGGTTGAGATCTCGAAACCATCCCTGGCCAGAGCTGCAAAGCAAGGCCTACAATGTGACTAGCCTTTTCATTAATAGGTGGCCCAGTTCTCACCCACCAACCATGGCAACCCTTGGTCAACGCATAGTCCATGGCCTCTGGCAGCATTGCAATTGCATCCAGGCACATACAAGCTGAGGCTCGCTGTGTGTTGGCGTGGCTTTGCCATGAAGTAGTCTCACTGGCCAATGATGAGAAGTATGTACATGATGAGTGGGTGCCCCTTCTTGCATCATGCACGTGGCTTGACCATAATAGCAACATCAGAAAAGTCTTTGTTGAGTTGAGGGGGGGAAACCTAGTCTAGACATCAGACACAATCCAGCCTTTCTTCTGTAAAAAAAATGAACCTGTGTGACTCTCACTAGGTTCCACCTGGCTGAATGGCATCGGAAAACAGAGCTCCTGGGAAGATACCTCACTCCAGAGCAGGCCTGTGATCTGGAGAGGGAATGCGATGGTTGCCTGACATACTACTTAATCTGCAGTCACAGGGCTGTGGACGCTGGAGAGCTCTTGTTTCCCATCCGGCCAAAACTCCATGTGTCTAGCTTTCATATATGACTACTTTTTCTATTGAAGACGCCCCCTAACTTATTCCTTCTATAGAAAAACTGAAAGGAAGATTAATTGTGCGGGCCATGTAAGGCATTCCAAGAGATCGCCCAGAGCCAAAAGGAAGATCGCAACTATGCTTGTGAGAGATCAACTGTTTGGTTTCCCCCAGGAATTTTCATTTATAATTTGTGTTTGGCTATTGTTCTTAGAAGTGTGGTGAGTGAACTTGCAGGTATCAACCACCGGTTCTATCAGGGATACCACCCAGAGGACTTCATTGGAAAGGTTTCGGCAATCTGCAGTGCTGGCTCCAATGCCAATCTTGAGTATGTGGCACTCAAGCGCTTCTTTGTTGGGTAACTTGGCTTTGGATATGGCAATGATTTACAGAGTTCCTATACCTTTATGTCTTCTATGGTGTTTTCATCTTTGGGTTGACCTGGTGCAACCTTGTCCAAAACTAGTTTTGCTGCCCTGACTGGGGCAAACTGTAGGCAAAAGGGCCACTACAATCTTGCGGATGATGATGGCGAATCCTAGTGTCGACGACTCTAATTAGAGACTATGTGCAATAGTGATTGTACAGTGCTATCGGTGTGGGAAGAACTTGAAAAAGGTCTTGGGACTGGGAAGGAGAGCCTGTAAACAACGTTACCTCCAAATGTTGTCTTAAAATCATGTGTTCACTTTGTTCCTTGGTATATTCCTTTTCTTGGAGCTGCTGAATCAGGCACGGAAGTGGAGTGAGTGACAGGGTTGTGTCCGTTAAAAGTCACCCATTTTGTGAGCATGGTCGCGGGGCCTGCAACATAATTGGATCCCTCCAGGATGTGGTTCACATTGCAATCACCTTCTCATCGTGTGTTTGGGATCCCCTGGGAATATGGTACCATGGTGGTCTTCACAGCCGATCTTTTGACTCAGTTTCATTCAGTTTCCAAGTTTCCTTCACCCCCCCCAACACACACAACAAAAATAAATACAGGAAGAAAACACGAACAAAACGGGGAAAAAAAACTGTCCGAGTCCCGTGCCCCTTCTCATCACTCGCCCCTCCCTTGGCTGCGCCCCTTCTCCCTCGCCTTCTTGGGAACGGCTGCGCTCGCATCGAAGTGGAAGCTCTCGTGCTGCGTGCACATCTGCTGCACCTCAAAGCTGAGGCCGTGTTCGACGTGTGGAGCACCCCACCGTCGAGGTAAAACAAGGGCCCAAAGGGGAGGGAAGGGGCACATTATAGCAAGGGTGGTGCACACAATGACATGTGGCAACGTATTGATACAATGTTTGGGTGAAGTAGGGGTGTTTGGAAGCGTGGGTCATGAATGAGAATTTTCAGGATTTGATGAAAGTGCTGTTGGCTTACTTTGTATTCTGATGTATGTCTTTATAGGTTCTTCATATGAATTAATTGTGTTGGCGGCCTCTTGTTATCTCTTGTTGTAAAGTTTGTTGGGTCGGTCATAATGGTGATTATTCTTTCGACACACTCTTCGAACACAGTTTAAACACATTTGGATCCTTTTTTCGGCTTCGGGAACTCCCGAGAGATTGACTCGTCAAGCGCATCACAGGATGGGCCGCCGTGGCGATTCACTAGCATCGCCATCGCCCAACCCCGCTCCTCCCCTTGCCCAACTGCTCCTTCCGTCGGTTGGAATGGCCATCGAATTCCGTTTTCCAAGACACTCCCAAAGGTCGGCGGGAAAGGATGTCAAAGGCCTCTTTCAACTTGCCATTCTCTTCCTCACACCGGTCACACAGGTATGCCCATGTCCTGTTGCCAGTGTGCCTGCCTTTTTTGAGGGATGAATGCAGAAGACACCGCAGCTGGTCTATGTTCCATCCGTAACACCCGCAACGAAGACTCCGCAACTGCTGTACCTGCCCCAACTGAACAGAAACACTCAGACTCCGTGTCTGGTTCGACCTGGACCGCCTTCTTGCCCGAAGGATGGCACCCTCCGGTTCCGTGGCATCCTCGCCTTGGGAAGAGACTGCAGTGCCATCTTGACATCAGCAGGGCTTGCATTTCGCAAAGCTGTGGCACCCGCGCCCATGGACTTCAACGCGATGCAGCGGGTAGTGCTGTGGAGGCACCGAAAAACGCAACAGCTGAGCCAAACGCAGAACTGGCGTGTCCACCATCGAAGAAGGAAATCGGCTCGATGAGCAGGTGTGTTTCACCGGGTGCTCCAATCAAAAGACATCAAAAGACTATGATGCGATAGCAATCTCAGCAACAACAGTCCTATACTCTGTGAGTCAGCAATGTTAGCAACTAAATGCAACAACGATAACCCTAGTCACCGTGTGCCCCCTGCCCTACTTCTGTCACCGTGTGCCTTTCGTTTTATCGCTCCCCAAGATGACCTGTCTCCCTGGTGTTTGAACTGATCCGGTCGAAAAATGTCGAACCGGTGAACACTTGGGAGAGATGAACGGCGATCAACGGCTGGCTGAGACCAATGTCAGTCTCTTGGCTGTTCCATTTCAAGAACCGGATGACACCTAAAAACAAACGCAACAAAACAAACTTCAAAGCACACCGACCGCGTGAACGAGTTCCGGCCCACGCCTGCGTTCCTCAAGTGGGGCCTTTGGCACGAATGGCCTGGAAGGGGCCATTGACACCATACGGCTTCTGCACCGGTTCCGGACCACGGTTACCAGGGTGAACGGCAGCAGGTCTCTTCAACCAGCCAACGGACGCCCTGTCCGTGAGTGTCTCGATGCCTCGGCACTCTTGGACCTGTAAATGCACGAGTGAACCACCATGTGACGAGAAGCCTAGGCCTTACAGCTTCAGACCGCTAGGCCAAGCTTCCTCCCACCCACCCCAAGCTCTCGTGCACGTCTCTACATCGATTAGAATCTCATTCATGAATTCTGGGTGAGGTGCCCAGAGAAGTGAAAAACAACAAAGACACAAGAGTCCGTCCCCCCCAAAGAAATCTGATCAGCAAGCTTAAGGCCAAGGGTTTTTCGGACCAGTGACACTCGCTTCCGTTTCGTCAACGCGCCCCAAAAACACAGACCTCGCTTCTCTCGCATGTGCTGTTCGTGCCGAAGAAATCCATCGTCCGGTCCCACCTGTAGCCGGGCCCTGAACCTTCAGCGCCCAGCGGAGCTGAAGAGCTTCGGTTTCAGAGGGAACGTGTTCGGCAGCCGAAAGCATGATACGGCCGCTGTATGTGAGGCTGGAAGGCAATGATGGTCCAAACGCTTGTTCAAACACAGCGGGACGAGCTACCTCCAACACACACCCTTCATACATGCAGGTTGTTTGAGCCATGTTCGGGAACTAGAACCCCACTTGAGAGGACGTGTCATAGCACAAAAACATACAAAGACTATATGAACCGCCAACAAATGTAGAACAACATAAAATAGTTATAACTGTTAGTTCTCATCCTGAACATGCCAGTGATCTTTGACGAGAGGGACAAACTTGCCTATTTAACAAATGGCCAATCCAAACACACACCTCATTAGTGACAAAGGGGTGCCTTAAGAGGGGATCTGAAAGAATGAGTGGGCTCCCTGGCAAGGGTGCCCCAACAGTGGTTAGGACTGAGACTCCTCTAAAACTGTCAGTTGCAGAACACCGCAATCCACTGCGTCTCGTGGTGATTCCCAGCGTGATTCTTCGCAAGGCTTCGGAACAGCACAAGAATGAGATGCACAAATCAAATTGGTGCAAGATCCCCAAAACTGGTAACACAAAAATCAGTACTGTTCTCCTTTGGAACCCACCCTTTTGGAAGCCACTTCTGACACCGATCTCCACCATCCCTCCACTGCTCGCCTGCCCACTGCGGCTCCTCATACCGCGGGCCTCTGGGACCTGCGCCGACCCGCTCTCCGCAGCGAAGCGTCGGCCCGCCCCACCGTCGCCCGGCAGAAGTGCCAGCACTGAAGCCTCGAACTCCGGAAGCTTCTCGACTTCTCTCACTCCGTTTTTCGGGAGTTGCTTCTTCTGTCTGGTTGCCACTAAGTGGCCTTTAGAATTGGCCTTTTGGAGTTT